TTATCGGTGCTGAGCACTTCCGGGAATGAGAGATTTCCGGGTAACGAGACTACTCTCTCAAGCCGGAAAAAAAATCCCTCCTCTCAGAATTTTCCGGATAATGGAAAAATGTTCTCGGAAGTTCCAGAAATTGTGTATTAGTACATCATCTCTCAAAGCCGGAAAAAATCCCTCAGTCTAGATATCTAAACAAACTTCTTATAAGACCCAATAATTTATTTGCCTGATTTACCTTCTTTTCACAATGGCCCGAGAACTTCAGCTCATTGTCAACATACACACGTAGGTCCTTCTCACATTCAGTCTCAAATAGTGCAGTTTCTTCAACCTGTTGGGACATATGATATGTCTTCTTACCGTTGATACGCCCCAGGTGCATCCTCTTACACTTCGTGACACTGAATCCCTGCAGCCATTTCTTCGACCATTCTTGGAGCTCACAGAGATCCTTCTGCAGCTCTTCACAGTCTGCATGGTTTTTGATTTCCCGAAATAACTTTACGTCATCGGCAAACAAGCAACAGCGGGCCCTATACACTGCCCTGTGGTACCCCGCTTGTGACAGGTACAGATAATTATTTCGTGCCATTAATCACCACACACACTGCCTGCTGTCATGCAGAAAGTCTTCTATCCAAGCTAGGACACTTCCCCGAATTCCGCACCCTTCCAGCCCGATTTTCAGCCTTTCGTGGGGTACACTGACAATTACCTCCTGCAGTTGTTCTGGCATAGAGACCCCATGGTTCCTCACCAGTTGATGGTTGGCCCAGAATAACTCCCACTCAGCCTTTGTGTGGTCCAACAGTAAAGTGAGCTCTTTCAAGACCAGACTTGACCAACACTGGAGCAGGTTCTGATACATTCAGGAGCCAGTTCATGCCCAGTACTTGCCAACAGTGCATAACAGAGCCAGTACATGACTAGTACTTGCCAACAGTGCGTGACAGGGACGTGACCGATCGCCCAAGCGGCTAACGAGCTGATCAGTGGTGAAGAGGATAAAAGAAAAGAAAAGGTAACCCCACCATACAGCCACTGTCCAAGAGTTCACAAATCTCACTACGAAAAAGTTTGCCCTCACAGTTTTCTGGACTTGTGGATTCTTCAACCTCGAACTGTGATCCTTCTTGGGGTGGGCGTCCGCCAGCTCCAAGAATGGGCACTCAATCTAGTCTGTAGTATAAGATAGGCAGTTGCAGGTGCTCTAATCTCTGGATAACTGAGATGCAGGCACCATTCTGGTGGCCCTCCTTCAGACATTTTCAATCAACTGGCAGTCTCTAGCAAATCTCGGGGACCAGACGGGATGTCAGTACTCCAGGCAGGCAAGCACCTCACTCTTGAAGACCGTTAAGAGAGGCAGACCATCTAGATATCTGGACGACCTTTTATCAAGACTTCTCACAATGGCCCGACAACTTCAGTTCGGTGTCAACATATATAGCACACTCACGTCCTTTTCGCATTCGGTCTCTATTAATGCAGTTTCTTTGGCCCGTTGGGATTTGTGATACGCCTCTTTACCTTTGGTACGACCCAGGTGCATCCTCTTACACTTTGTAACATTGAATCTTAGCAGCCATTTCTTCGACAACCCTTGAAGTTCACAGAGATTTTTCTGCAGTTCTTTACAGTCCGTTTGGTTTTTAATTTCCCTGAATAAATTGGCATTGTCGGCAAACATTTGTATGGAGGGGTGTATAGTACAGCTTCCGGTATGTCAACTGAACAAACAAACAACAACGGACCCAATACACTGCCCTGTGGCAATCTGTTTGTCACGGGTACACATGACGATTTCATACCATTTATCACCAACACACCGGTGTGTCTGCGATCATGCAGCAAGTCTCCGATCCACACTAGGACACTTCCCCAAATCCCGTACCCTTCCAGCTTAATTCTCAGCCTTCCATGGTGTACATTGTCGAAAGCCTTGGCAAAATCTAGGTATATATTGTTGATAGTATTGTTAATTAAAATAATTATTTTGCAACGTCTTAGGTATATTTTTATTTTTCATTACACTTATGTAAGTGAATCCCAATGTATTTGTTATTCATTGGGTCATAAATGCAAACCCATCGTAAGCGGACACCATATGTAGAGGTCCCAACTCATACCCTCATCAGCCCTGGAGAAAGTGACGTAATGCAGGTGAAGTAATTATATTCCCTCTAGATATTTGTAAGGTGGAAAATTTTATACTAAATTATGATTCCATCAGTTGTGAACTTTCATCAGTTGAGAATATTTGCAAGACGTTTACTTTTATAATTATTTATTTCTATATCTTTTGTTACTATAACTTACATTGTATAGCCTATCGCCTTATACATTAGATAACCATTCGGAATAGTTTATAATGCCGGCTTTTGCATCTCTTTTTCCCCATTTGAGTAGAATAATAAGTTACAATGCCAGTTTCATGGACATATTAGTACTAATTTATCTTTTTTTTTTAAATACAATGTAGTGGGTTTTAGGTTTCAAGACTGAAGTACAGTATCATATACAGTATAATCATAACACAGCAACATGAATGGCCAGGGAGGAGCTGCTTTCTCTTACTCTTAACTATGCAATCGTACATTTATATCATAATCCACACCAAAAGAATAATTTTATTTGTACTTGACACCAAACAAATGACTAGGTTAAGTACTTTTTAAATATATTTCATACATATGTAGAGTTATACACTCCTTGATGATGCTGTCACCAGGGCCGGAGTAAGCTTAATAGGGGCCTGAGGCACAGATCAACTTGGGGCCCCCTACCCTCAAGGTAAATAACAAGAACAAAATATACCCAAATTTATCAATGATTTCATCAATATTAAGCTTCTGCAAAATAACACATTTAATGTTCATAAGATACAGAAAATTGAGACGTTGCTAGGACATCGTTGAACGAAGTTCATATTTTATACGCTTCAACTTCGAGAATGTTTGGATTTGGGAGCCCCTTAGAGTCGGGAGGCCTGAGGCCAGTGCCTCAAGTGCCTCATGGTTAATCCGGCACTGGCTGCCACTATCAGCAATCTAGTCAAGTACCCAATATCAGCTTGGCTGAAAGAGGGAGCCTCACCCAGTCGCTGTACCGACCAACACATTCAGGTCGCATATCTATTTATCATTCACACTTATAGTTGAGTATAATGCTATGGACTGACTAGAGGTGTGTCCGTTGTGTAGGTATAGCAGGATGTAGCTAGCAGTAAAACCATTACTGATAGTCGTGGGTGTAGCCAGGGTGTAGCTAGCAGTAAAACCATTACTGATAGTCGTGGGTGTAGCCAGGGTGTAGCTAGCAGTAAAACCACTACTGATAGTCGTGGGTGTAGCCAGGGTGTAGCTAGCAGTAAAACCATTACTGATAGTCGTGGGTGTAGCCAGGGTGTAGCTAGCAGTAAAACCACTACTGATAGTCGTGGGTGTAGCTAGCAGTAAAACCATTACTGATAGTCGTGGGTGTAGCCAGGATGTAGCTAGCAGTAAAACCACTACTGATAGTCGTGGGTGTAGCCAGGGTGTAGCTAGCAGTAAAACCATTACTGATAGTCGTGGGTGTAGCCAGGGTGTAGCGAGCAGTAAAACCACTACTGATAGTCGTGGGTGTAGCTAGCAGTAAAACCATTACTGATAGTCGTGGGTGTAGCCAGGATGTAGCTAGCAGTAAAACCACTACTGATAGTCGTGGGTGTAGCCAGGGTGTAGCTAGCAGTAAAACCATTACTGATAGTCGTGGGTGTAGCCAGGGTGTAGCGAGCAGTAAAACCACTACTGATAGTCGTGGGTGTAGCCAGGGTGTAGCTAGCAGTAAAACCACTACTGATAGTCGTGGGTGTGGCCAGAGTGTAGCTAGCAGTAAAACCCTCCTCGTGGTCGAGTGGTCGTGGGTGTATTGAGGGTGTAGGAAGCAGCAGAACCAATCCCGGTGGTAGTGGGTGTAGGGAGCAGTAGAACCACTCTTGGTGGTTGTGGGTGTAGTCAGAGTGTAACTAGCAGTAGAATCAATCTTGGTGGTCTGGTGGTTGTAGGTGTAGATAGCAGTAGAATGAGTCCTGGTGGTCGTGGGTGTAGCCAGGGGGTAGCTAGCAGTAGAACTACTTCTTGTAGTCGGGTGGCCGTGGGTGTAGCAGTGTAGCTAGCAGTAGAACCAAGTTCTGGTGATCGGGTTGTCATTAGTGTAGCAGGGTGTAGCGAGCAGTAGAACCATTACTGGTGGTCGTGGGTGTAGCAGGGTGTAGCGAGCAGTAGAACCATTACTGGTGGTCGTGGGTAGCAGGGTGTAGCGAGCAGTAGAACCATTACTAGTGGTCGTGGGTGTAGTCGGTAAGCAGTAGAACCATTACTGGTGGTCGGGGTGTAGCAGGGTGTAGCGAGAGCAGTAGAACCATTACTGGTGGTCGTGGGTGTAGTGTAGCGAGCAGTGGAGCACCATTACTAGAACCATTACTGGTGGTCGTGGGTGTAGCAGGGTGTAGCAGTAGTAGAACCATTACTGGTGGTCGTGGGTGTAGCAGGGTGTAGCGAGCAGTAGAACCATTACTGGTGGTCGTGGGTGTAGCAGGGTGTAGCGAGCAGTAGAACCATTACTGGTGGTCGTGGGTGTAGCAGGGTGTAGCGAGCAGTAGAACCATTACTAGTGGTCGTGGGTGTAGCAGGGTGTAGCGAGCAGTAGAACCATTACTGGTGGTCGTGGGTGTAGCAGGGTGTAGCGAGCAGTAGAACCATTACTGGTGGTCGTGGGTGTGCAGGTGTAGCGAGCAGTAGAACCATTACTAGTGGTCGTGGGTGTAGCAGGGTGTAGTGTTACTGGTGGTCGTGGGTGTAGCAGGGTGTAGCAGCAGTAGAACACTGAGTGGTCGTGGGTGTAGCAGGGTGTGTAGAACCATGGGTGGTCGTGGGTGTAGCAGGTGTAGCGAGCACCATTACTGGTGGTCGTGGGTGTAGCAGGTAGCGAGTAGAACCATTACTGGTGGTCGTGGGTGTAGCAGGGTGTGAGCAGTAGAACCATTACTGGTGGTCGTGGGTGTAGCAGGGTGTAGCGAGCAGTAGAACCATTACTGGTGGTCGTGGGTGTAGCAGGGTGTAGCGAGTAGTAGAACCATTACTAGTGGTCGTGGGTGTAGCAGGGTGTAGCGAGTAGTAGAACCATTACTAGTGGTCGTGGGTGTAGCAGGGTGTAGCGAGTAGTAGAACCATTATTGGAGGTCGTGGGAGTAGGTAGCAGTAGATTCCGTCCTAGTAGTCGGGTGGTCGTGGGTGTAGGAGGGTGTAACTAGCAGTGTAACCACTCCTGGTGGTCGTGGGTGTTGCAGGGTGTAGCTAGCAATAAAACCACTCCTGGTGGTCGTGGGTGTAGGAGGGTGTAGCGAGCAGTAGAACTACTCCTGGTGGTCGGGTGGTCGTGGGTGTAGCTAGCAGTATGACCAGTCTTGGTGGTCGGGTGGTCTACACTCTTTTGGACACACAGTCACACCCGATAGCTCGTGGTCGCGGGTCGGGCCCCAGCCGACGAAGTACCGACGGTCACGCCGAGTCGGGAACGGCGCTGAGCGATGATGTGACCGGAAGTGGGGGTTGCCACAGAAGTAACTGTCATGTGCTAGCTGTAGGGGATGCCTGATTACTTATTAATAGTACTTATCACGGGTAACTGGTAATGTTTATCTGGTAGCCTACCTGGTAATGTTTTGGGTTTGGTAAAGTTTTTAACTGTTAACTGGTAATGTTTATGACTTGTAAAGTAATATCTATGACTGGTAACTGGCAACGTTTATGTCTGGTAGCTGGTAATAAAATTAAACTACTATTATTAATATAAATACTACCAATACTACTACTACTACTACTACTACTACTACTACTACTACTAATAATAATAATAATAATAATAATAATAATAATAATAATAATACAACTACTAATACTATAACTAAAATTACCACTACAGCTAATGTGCATCTAGTAATTTTGGAGGAGGCCGAAAAATTACTTTGCTCAAAATCTCAGTTTAGGTAGTCCTCGACGTGCTGATTAAGGACCTGTGGTTGAAATGTTGATATTCTGAGAATTAATTGTTGTAATAGAGGATTTTGAAATTTTGATAATTAATTTCCTGATTAATTACATTCTTTTTGGGCCCGAAATTTTGTTCACAATCTCAGTACTGTACTGTATAGGTAATCTTCCATGCGGAAATTACGGATCTGAGGTCAAAATGTTTTTATCCGGGTTAGTAGGACAATTAATTATCAAAATTTCAATCTCTAGTGGCTACTACGACAATTAGATAAAAAAAAAAATGTCAAAACTCTGACCACAGATCCTTAATCAGCATGTCGAGGACTACATACGAGTATAAAGGGATTTTGAACAAAATAAATTGTTCGGCTCCCCCAAAAAACATCCAAGAGGTATACTGTACATCCGAGTACTTTTTGAGAGACGAAAAACAACAAAAAACACGGTTTCTCCAACAACCAACTTGGCGGTAACTCCAATAATTTACGAGAGGAACACTTACCAAGCTATCCAGAACCTCCGGCCAGACTACCCTCTTGAGCATCATCTGGTCGTAGTCCCAGAAGTTCCTAGGGGGCCAGCGTAGCATCTCTCTAATCATATTCCTAAATTTGTCTCCTCCTCGTACACGGGACCCACCCCACATCCCTGGAGAGAGCGACGGTAATATTATAGAAAGGGAGGGTATGTGTGTATGTGTGTGTGTGTGTGTTTTAAGGAAGCTATCAAGGTTAGGTTAGGTTAGTCTATATTAGGCTCACCAAAATATACCAAGACCAAGAAGCTTGCTGACCTGCCAGTATGAGGCCGTTGTGGCTGGGGTGATCACGCATGAGGTGGAGGATGGCAGTGGAGTTGGACAACCAGTACCGGACGGCCGCCACCTCCCGCGGCAGAATGGCAGAGTCCACATCCCGCACCAGAAACTCGGCCACCAGAGGGTCAGCCATAACGAGGAACCTCCACATCTTGCCTATCAACAGCTGCTCGTAACTCCTTGCACCTTATTTAGTGAGCGGAAAAATGTATTAGTGTATTAATTGACACATATGGGTGAAAGAATGGATTATTAGCAAGTTTCAGTGAACTGTATACATGAAAAATAGTTTCATAGCAAATTCTAATGACACGTAAGGATGAAAGGCTAGTTTAATAGCAAATGCTATTTTAATGCTATAAATGATACTAACCAAACCTTAACTAATTTACGTAATAATTTGGTGATGTTTTGATGTTAAACAATATCTCAAATTAAAGAAGGCAAATGTTACTATGAACTCATTTTCACAGTGTTGGGATCAGCGCTGGGTAGCTGACGCGCGTTGATGGCGGGCTCAAATGAACCAAGATAGAGCGGACTGGTAGAACTTGTCAGTCATTGTGGAAACACTAACATTGAACAGCTTATAAAAAAAATATGGAATTGTAAAAGAATCTCAACCTACCTGTGAGTCCAGGGTGTATTTTTTCAGGTGTGGTTGTTGTTGGGTTTGTACTGGTCATCGCTTTCTCACCCCCTACATCCTTACTCGAGATTCTCCCGTATTCTCTTCTGTTTCTCATATTTTCTCTATTAGTTATCGCCTTCTCTCCAGTAAGTCCCAAATTTTCTTCTTCATCACCTCCCGGGCTACTCTTAACTCCACCACCCCGTGTCGTACTCCTCTCTGCCGTCGCGTTTGCAGCATCACCCCCTTCCTCCCATACGCCTTCTACTGTGTCCTTTGGATACTTACCAGCATCCTTAAAATAATTATTAATAGCTTCTGAAATACCGGAACTCACAGATAAGGAGGGCCTGGGGTTCGTCGGCAGTGTCTCCTCTGTCGGGTAGAGGCGGTGGACGTGGCAGGGGTCGAAGTGAGGGTAGAGGCAATAGAGGCGACACAGTAAGCTCTGAGCCTGACCATCCGACTGTGATTTGTTGTGGTAGAGACGCACTACCCACCCTGAGGAAGTGTATAATACTGCCAGGGTTATTAAGTACCGTTCATCAGTTTCTACAATACGCAAAACTAAAAAAAAATCCTGTTTTATATACATTACAGTAATTCTAATGTTATCAAACTAAAGTAAAAGAACTGATAAAATTCCATATTAATTATATTGACAATGAAAACTCTCAATAAGAAATCTATAAGCTTACCTTCATAATATTTTTGGACGTCTTTAAGTCTTTCTTCTATTGCGGAATAATATTGTCTATAAACACCTTTGTGGTTCATATCGCCATATATACTGTATGACACCACCCTCTGCCCGGCACCTCTGCTGGTCGACCAGTCACTGCATATGGATTGTGAGCTTGACGCTATGATTGGTGGACCAGATCTGGGACACCCGCAGTTATATTCGTCATAATCAACCATTTGCCAAGGATAAACTCTTTTTAATTGGTTGACGCGAGTGTTCTTGGAGGCCGAGTGGAGTAAGCAGAAGATCATCAGAGCGGAGGAGCTAGCTAGGTAAAGCAGAATTCCTCTTCGTTTCCTCAGGATTGCGAGCATCTTGGTGCTCCGACGTGCATGCTGGCTCGCGTCGCACTGTGGAAGGAGAGAGACACACGTAAGTAAGATAAGAAATCGTGGCCTGCTTGCCTGGATTTGCATGGTCTAATTGCGCGGCACTTATACTGTGTACTCTACCTTTAAGGATTGCTAAGTAACATTCCATCACCCAATTGCTCTGAGCTGCTGTGGGTGCGTATTTATATTCAGGTACCGCTGCTTTACCGTTTCAACGTCTATTCACACGACCTTCTTTCTCTGATAGTGATATATAGATATTGTCTGTAGAATCGTCAAGCAAATTAACATTGATTCAGCATGTACGCAGTCAGTGCAAGCAGACAAGGTTCACAGTCAAGTAAATATTGTTGTTATAAAATGATGAATTAGAAGAACGCCCCCCCCCCCAAAAAAAAGATACTGGCCTAATACGACTGAAGTTGAGAATATGACAAGACGCTAGACTGACTTAACAGAAGGAAAATTGCTACAAACAAGTAAATAAAAAAAAATAAAAAAAAATAGGAAGAGAAACGCGCACGATGAGAGAAAACGGATTTAACGTTAGCCTCCAGCAGTAACTTTAGAAATCTTATACCCTTACACCCCCAAACAACAGTAAACTTAGGCATAAAACGGGAAGAGTACAGCCCCGAGCTCAACACAAACACTCACTCGCCCACACCATACCGGGCGTTCGTCAGCTGACGCTCAAACAGCACCACAGGGCAGGGATGAACCTTGAGTGGCTGGATTAGTGTCACACGATGTCTTCAACTCTTGTGCCATGATGGTGGGGGGTGGCGCCCTACGTACCCAAAGGAGATTATAGATGTATTTACTTATAGCTCCCTTCTTTCCTGCTATCCTGCCCTCTTTTCCCATCCTCTTACCTCTTCCATCCATCACTCATGCGTCCCCATTTCACTAGTTGATGGAGGGAGTCGTGACTAACGTTCAGAATTACTGTACAGTCGAGGTGTGAGTCACTGTAAGGGGATGAGAATGGGACCGTATACCTTGATAATACTGCACACCATTAGTTCTTGTGTCTGTGTGCTAGATATGTTATGACAGAGAATTGAAGAGTTAGTGTTATGGTCTATATACACCGCCCCCATGTCATGCCACTCTATGAACTCATATTCCCGAGACACGCACCTGGAGACGGGTTGGAGGAGGTGTGCAAAAAGCGAACAGCACGAGATTTACTGTTATAACGCCCATGTGTCAAGCACCCGCCCGTTCCTTCATGACCCACACCTGCACAAGTATAGCACCTCTGGAGGATGTGTTGTGTGTTGAAACCCAAACGTATTCAGGCCAGGATTTTTTAGTTTTATACAATTTTATGACAAGAACTCAAGTACAAGGTAGGTAGGTTGAGAGAGAGAGAGAGAGAGAGAGAGAGAGAGAGAGAGAGAGAGAGAGATTCTGATTCTGGAAGTAGCGTTAACTTAAACCCTCATTCTTCATATTCATCATTATACATGTATAGTTTCACCAGAGATTAACACCGCGTTAACAAGAGGAGGCGTTCAGGAATCGAGAGGGAAGGAGGTGGGTAGGGATGGAGTGCAAGAGGGAAGCGGGGTGAAGGAGGAGAAGAGAGGGACGGGGGAAGAAACGGAGGAAGGAAGGAGGAAGAAAGTGTGAGAAGAAGGATGGGAGATACGGAAGGAGGGAGGGAGAAAGGGAAGAAGGAAGCGGGTGTAAAAATCACTGTCGAGCACCGTTAGAAGTTTCTTTTGTTTGGGTCTGCTAACGTCACGTTTTAGTGTGTCACATCCTCCACCCAACACGACCTTCGCCTAGATTCTGAAAGGCTCGCGTAAAGTGAACTTCTCCCATAAACAAGACACACAAGAACCTATCTAAAGAGGTCAGTTATGTTATGGCAGAGTTTATTCGTATAAACAAAATCTCGTCAATTTGTTTCTTGAGATGACGAAGTGAATGAAAATCGAGAAACAACTTAACTTAACCTAACGCTAACCTCAAGTGAGAGAATTTAACAAGCGCAAATTCTCGGCCATAGCGTGAGACAAACGAGACTACTGTAGATTGGTCAGTACGATGAGCAATATTATTAAGTTATACCATAATTTGGGTTCCTCAAAAACCCGTACGGTATATTTTCCCTCATTACTTGAGCCTCGCCTCTATCTACACCTAGAGTCCCTGGATACAGAATAGCGACAACTTGAATTTGATGCCATAATGTTGCCAGTGAACTAATGACTCCCTTCATCACCTCACACACACACACACACACACCTGAAGATGTGAATTACACGAATTACTACCAATGACTAACATAGCCTACAGTACGCACAATAAACAGTACCATAGCTCAGTTATGCACAGTACCATTTTAAATAACTGATAAGTTACATATTTCCTGCATTGTAATCAAAATAACTCTAACAATAACAGTGGTAATAAAGAAAACGTCGAGTCAGAGTTCAGAAATTACATAACCCGAACCAGGATTTATCTAGGAGCAGACTGTGGTCAGATCACATCCCAGTAATAAGTTTAGCGAGGCTAAAGCTTGAAAAATTACAAAGAAAAACTTTGGACAAAATGAAATGGGATTTAGGTAAGCTCAAAACAGGAGCTGGGATAAAATATGAAATTGAAACCGAAAATAGATTTTCAGTATTGCTAGCGGGTGACTTTGATGAACAAGGACCTGGACAAGACAATAATTTAATAATTACAAAGAAGTAATGTTAGAGACAGGGAAAAAACTTATAGGACATAGGAGGAGCGAGACTAAAAGTGATTGGATGACAAATTTAAACAAAGAAATCCAAAGGAAATGCAAACAAGCCAAGAACAATGATGTAAAAAGAAGATGCATGAAGATTGAAGATGACAGAAGACATAATTACAGGGAAATGAACCAGAAAAAAAAATAAAATAGATGGGGTGGGACTATTAAAAGCAGATATGGATAACGTAGAGATAAGAATAAAAAAAAAGATAAAAATCGAAATGCCAATTCTGAAAGCAGGTGAGGCAAACGCAGCTGTGAGCAAAATGAAATATGATAGAGCTTATGGGGTTGATCACCAAACCAGTCGACTTCTAACTAAAGTATTACTCATTTACATCTTTACAATACCTACACAAACTTCTACAGTACAAGGCTCAGAATAACGTCTCCTCATTAAGTATTTTTATCTCCAGCATATCATTCACAGGCGGCGGCGTTCAAAGAAAACAAACAGATTATCTCGGTGACTGAAGAAAATGGGTCCGTGTCAGAAAACGGGAAACGCTTCTTAGTGTCAGTGGTTATGAAAATGATTTATGCCAGGTTTGTGTGTGTGTGACTGGCTTTTCATGTTTGAGATTATGAACTACAATAGCTGGAGATTCAAGACCAAGCAAGCACACACACACACACACACACACACACACACACACACACACACACACACACACACACACACACACACACACACACACACACACACACAGTAATTCAGATGGCAACTATTGGCCTGTTGACAAATATTTAGAGGTTCAGAATGACACCACAGGCAGTTCATTTCAAAAGAAGCACAAATACATGGCGGCAACACCCACAAGACACATATGAAGTCAAATCTAAACGTTATTTTTTTATTTTTTTTTAACGGGGATTAGCCCACCCGAGCACAGGTCACTGACCCACATCAGGGCCTGGGGGCAAAAATAATAATAATAATAATAATAATAATAATAATAATAATAATAATAATAATAATATTTATGATAATTAATGAAAATTGAAAAAAGTATAACCAAAAAAATAAAAATAATAATAATAATTAACAAATAAATACACAGACGAAAAAATAAATCAAGAGTGAGAAACTATATACAGCGTGTTGTGTTGTCAATAGTAAGAGAAACAATTGAAACCCTGCAATTAGGACGAGGCGCTTGATGTGAATAACAAGGAATAAAAACTTAAAAATTTTATTATAAAAATCCAACAACTATAACCTGACCTGACCTGACCTAACCTGCAGTCAACGTAGCTTGTTTACCTGCACTATACCCGTCCGGGTATAGGTCACTGACCCTCATCGGGGTCTGGGGGGGCGAAAATATTATAATAATAATAATAATAATAATAATAATAATAATAATAATAATAATAATAATAACAATAACAATAATAATAATAATAATAATAATAATAATAATAATAATAATAATTAATTTAATAAAAATAAATACAAATAATAATAAATACAAATATAATAATAATAAAAATAACAATAATAACAACCATAAATAAAAATAAAAAAAATCAAGAGTGAGAAACGATATTCAGTATTATGTTGTGTTGTCAAAGTCAGAGAAACAAACGAAACCCTGCAATTGTGTGTAAATGAGGCAGAAAGTCAGATCAGCAGCCTGGAACTTTTTCACAATTTTGTGATGCCATATGGCAGCAGGGTCTACCATTAGACAACACATTATGCAGTCTACAGTATGTGCATTGTCTGTATACCTACACTGTTTATGTACACTCACTAACAACAGTCCTGTCGCCCCATCTGCCTCTTGATAAACCCAGGAGTTTTTGGAAAGTGTACATTGTTTGTATACCTGCACTGTCTAAGTACATTGTTTGTATACCTGCGCTATGTACATTGTTTGTATACCTGCGCTATGTACATTGTTTGTATACCTGAATTGCCTATATGTACACTTACATGATGAACCAATGCCAAATCATATGACGCTTTCAGTGAATATATACCATATCTATCTACCTATTCTCTTTACACCAACTATCAATCACAAAACTCCATAATTAAAAAATACCTGTAAGTCACAATAATAGCGACACTCACAGCAACAGCGGCACAGCTCCACGATTCACCCTCTCCCGTCACAGTCAGCCGGTAACTGAGAGTGAGTGACCTGGAGTGTTGCCATCCTACTCGCTATCCGCTAACTTATCATACGCTAAATTACATGGTTGAAAAAAGTACACACGTCTCCGTCTCTCAGCACTACGTCAAGTATGG